AAGTGAAGGCGCACAACAGCCACAATAGGCTCACTTTTCACAACAGCAGTAATGGAAAAAACACATCATAGTAGGTTATGCGGTACGTAAAGTGTTCATCACTAAATCATAATTTGTCTAAAACTGAATAATTAAGGCACATACTTTAACATCTGACGTCGTTACATCGTTATTTACTACATATATATGGTAAAATATATAGTCGCTGTAAGTGGGTGTAATAAAGGACATACCCCCGATACGAGGGCAGCGTACATGTACCTGTAGCGTATAAGGATACCGAAAAAGTGCAACGGGTAAATGATCATGATGAATAACATGTTCGTGATATTCAAACATTGTTGTCAATCATTTGTCATCTCTTTTCAAATGGGAAGTTGCTTTTTTTAATCGTTTAACTGTACCCTAATCCTTTTCCTACTCATGAGGAGAGATAACGAGGACATGCTAAGGCCATCTAATACACTGGAAGTGGGCAGATTACGCCTCCAGAGACTCAGTGTGCAAGTATGGCAACAAATAACTTCTCAGTGGTGGTCGTTTGCATTATTTTGTTGGTTTTAGAACCTGAAATATCCTCACACACCGAAGAGAGCGCCGATTCCAGTAAGTAGTATTGTTATTTTAAGAGGAGATGTTTAGAACTCATTTTAGTTATAAATATTCTCCGTTTTCATATAAACCTATGTTAAGCCAGCAAGTGAAGTATTTCACTTGGTACATTGTTGACCCTTGTAACAGAATATATACAGTACTATGTGAATGATACCTTTATATAACAAAAAAGTAGTAATTTTCCGAAAGATTTCAGCAATTTTCCGCTCTGTCATCGATAATGTTTTATTTGTACTATTGTTTTTTTACGTAAACGCTTGATAAAAATATGGGTTATTTTCGCATCTTTTTGTGCCCAATTATTTATCCCACAGAATATGATTAAGCGCTTTCTGAAAAATAATTTTCAATGCCAACTGAGGTCAATATCGATTCAATTGTATTCGTGTTTTAATATACGACCTTTTTTATTCAATACACACAGGTGTTTATTTCTCTTAACGATAAAAATACAACTCCTCCAGTCACACAGGTGAATCATAAGTAGATTAATCTCATACCCACCAAGATGTTATTGATGATAACCTCGAATGTACGTGCACAAGTGCGCAAAGGAGATAAAAAGCACACCGGCTGAAACAGTGTACCAAAGACAGGGGAGCACAGGGGACAAAAGCAATTGCCTCAGTGAACGGGCAGGTTGCTCATACATCTAGTTCGACATGAAAATGAAATGAAAGACAATCATCAAAAAAAAAAATGATATTAAGAGCATTTTAAAAGCATGTATAAAACACGACGTCCTACGTTTGGCAACCATTGAGCATTTGACCAATATATTGGTCGCACAAAGCAGGAAAAAGGTCGCAGCCATATAATTGAGATAAGGGTGTTTAATCTATATATTTTCATGTGAAAATATAGTTGTTATTTTTTACGCTTAAACCACCTCGCTACCATTTTTAATCACGCATAAGATAGAAGTATTTTCGGCATGATACATGTTATGTCACAAAAGTCAAACACATGCGTATCGTATTGGAATGTGTTTTGCTATAACGCATTCTGTATGTTTTTTTCCAGACTCAAAACATTCTTATCTTGGATTTCCGCACATACACTTTTCTGGGCGTTACCATGTAGACCCGATGACAGCCAACAATTTGCCAATCGCCTTTAACACAAGTATTAATCACGGACCACGCCTTCATCCCCAATTACAGGGGTTTAATCCTGAGGTAAAATATTCTAACTTAGACCTTCTACGTGTAATTTATTTTATGCATAACATGAACCATGTGTATAATTTACATGGAATTTTACACAAGTTGTTGTTCTTTAAAGCCATGTTAAGATATATAAACCCAATTTATCCACAGTACATATCATTCTATCACATGTTACTGATGTTCTTATTCATATGCGTTTGTTCATTAATCAATTGAATACGTTTTTACTTAAATATTTACTAATTTATCATATTATTATCTTCCCCTTTATACTTTTTTAAAGAGTAAAAACAACACGGTGAACCTCGACTATGTGTATTTCTTGATTTTTATAACTATTGTCCTAAAGTGAATGTCAATCAAAAGATTAAAAAGGCCACGGAACATCCCCCCCCCCCCAATCTCTCTGTCTCTCTCTCTCTTTCTCTCTCTCTCTCTCTCTCTCTCTCTTTGTGTGTGTGTTTGTGTGTGTGTGTGTGAGAGAGAGAGTGGTTTGCTGGCGTAACATTCACGCATTATTGCGTATTTATTCGTATTTATGTACATGTTTGTAAATATATCAAGTCTGTCATTCATCCCAGCAAGCATTAATCTTGTTTCAATCAATAAATATAAAGTGGCATTTTTTTAATAATCTGCAGGGCACAGGAAATTTCATGTTCTATGACACCTTTGTGACCAGTGTATGTTACTCAGATGGAAGTTGTGTTCAAAAGGGAGATTCTGTTATCGGACAGACCCTTGAGGGTAGGCCAGTTATATGCCAAAATAGTATAGACCTACATAAAATAATTGTCTCTCAATAATAATATTTTGGTAATTTTATTTTACCTCTAATTACATCATGCTGAGTGAACTGCACTTTTTTTTTGCATCGTAGGATAAAATTCATCTTTCTTTTTTTTCGAACTAGATTGGTATTTGCTACCCCCAGCCAAAATGGTAGACATTTACACCACGTGCGACTCGTTTCCCACTGTATACGGAATGACGCTGATGTTGTCAAATGTATTCCGCGCAAACGTTATCCCAACGCCGACACAGCAGGGCTGGTTCAAGTGCCCCGAAACGCGGACCGCTTATACGCGGACTTTCGCAGTGCATGTTAAATCGGTCTTAAATGATATTAAGTGGTTAAGTACTTTAGACAATTCTCGTTTCTTAAGAGAGATTAAGCAGGAAAGTGCCATTTCGCTATCCATCAAATATAACCTTGATCTGTATGATTCGCAGGAGAATAGCGAAACTTTTTTGTCCGGCCAATTGACTGGCACGATAGGTCCGCATCATTCAGAGGATGCATTGCCTTTTACAAGGTTCACCAGATTATTACGAGCAAGAGATGAAGAATGTGTCGGGTTGCCATTTTGTCATGCACCATTTGTTTTTGATCAAAAGCGTATGACACTCACTTTAGATTTGGGGAATAGTATGAGAAGGATGGAAAATGGTGATTTTAATGAAACAGAAATTGGTAGGCTTTTTGTAGGCAAATTTTTAGACGATGACATTTTCACAAAAGGCAAATGTGAAATGCTGGTAAATTCGACAGAATTTATAGAAATAAGATATCAGGAACCGAACTGGTACTTAAAAAATGCAGGGGTGGTTTCTCTAAATGTGTCAGATGCTTTCAAGCAGCACATCATGCGTACTTCTCTTGCCCTATATCAAGTTACCTTAGAACATATAAAAACAAAATGTAAAGTTGTGCTTTTCGAACCTCCACATGGCATCAACGTTGGACCCATGTATAACAATTCCTACATGAAAAGTCCTGATGATACATTGGAGTTCACTATGTTTGCGAGTCAGTTTGGGGAGCCAGCAGAAGGCGTCGAATTGAGTTTAGAGTTTGGAAAGAGTGACCAATGTAATTATCAAATATGCGGACCTTGCACGAGTGAATTTAGTTATCCACAGTCTGCTCTCGAGTTCAGAAACCCAGTAAAAACAGACATAAAAGGTATAGCTAGTATTGAAATTAAAGTCAAAGACCCGATTGAAAATGGATTGTATGCTTCAAGTATCTTGCTTCACGATGCTCAACTTTTCATAATGTTTATAAACTTTAAAGACAAGATAGGAAATTCGGGTACCGCAACTGCGTTTTTGGCAATAAAAGCTTTTAAAGATTACAAAATCCCCTTAGTTCCAACATGGCATGAGCATATACTTCCTATATTCGAGTATTATAGTAAATTATTTCCAGTCATGAACCACTTTTTGCATTTAGTTGACTACGAAAGTGTCATTCGTAACAGAGAAAAGATTAAAGCAACGTTAAGTCTCCCCATGGACCACCCCCATCACATGCCCGTAACACGCGACTTGTCACCAAAGAAACGAAAAATGATCATAAAGTGGCTGGATAACCCTGTGAAAGGCTCCGTTGCAACTATTCAAGAACTACACCGGTTACTGGAACAAGCGTTGCTTCTTGAATTTACTACTATCCCTCCTTATCTGACGGCATTGATGTCCATCAAAGAAGGTATGAATGTTTTTATCGCCGAAACGTTAAGATCAGTACTTATACAGGAAATGCTACATATGGTTTTAGTGGCTAATATATTAAATGCCGTTGGAGGGACTCCCAAAATTGCTAACCCCTATACTGTTCCCACTTATCCCACCCGTCTCCCTGGTGGAGTGAGGCCAGAATTAGAACTTTATCTGCAGGGTTTCTCGAAAGAGTATGTAGAATCAGTCTTTATGGAAATTGAAAAACCCGCAAAGATGCTTTCAACGGAATGCTACGACAAGTCACTCACATCCCAATACCGATCAAGATATAGCGTTCAGACACAAACTTGCCCAAAGAACGAGTACGAGTTGTCTACCACGTACTGTTTTTATAGAAATAGCACCAACACCATTTCTTCATTCTATGAAAGAATCAAACTGATTCTAAAGGGTCTTTCGTCAAATCCCAAATTATTTTCAGGCCAACATGTAAAACAGGTGTACGGAGATTTATGGTATGGACAGATAGACACTGTGAGACCGTTCCCTGTGTATAACTTGACAGATGCTATTAAAGCCATAGATATGATAACGGAACAGGGTGAAGGGAGCGACGCGTGTATGCCTCTTACTAATAAGAGTGATGTATCACATTATTTTCAATTCGCCCAACTTGTTAAGGGCAGAGAAATACGAGTTACACGATCCTGTTTACAAAATCCAAGTCAACGCCAATATAAAGGCTGCGAGAAAGACCTTAACAGAAAACGAAAGGAAGATACTGTTAATTGTGACACGTATTTTCACTTTAATGGACAAACTATTCCTTTTAACAAATACGGTGTATGGCCAATTACAAGGAACCCACACATTAATAAGTTGAAGTCTGGTTCCAAAGCATATAAGTTGTCATATTTTTTCGTTAAGATGTATACTAGTCTCATACAATGTCTACAAGAGGGACTTAGTGGTAAACCAAATAGGATACCAGACTGCATAAGTTTGATGCATGCTCTTTACGTGCAGGGTAAATTACTTTCACGGACACCCGTTGAAACTGGCGGAGACCCTGATATGGGGCCAAATGTTGGGCCAACGTTCCATTTCATAGATTAGACATGTTACCTTATCCGCTTTGTATTATTATAATAATTATTATAAATGTTTACTCAAATGCATTTTTCTCTTACTGATTTGGAATTGTCGTAGAACAGATTTTTGCAGATGCGTCAGAAGTGTCACTTGACATACAAACTCATGCATATTACAATGTGCTTTACACACCGTCTTTCTAACATATAGATAACAACCATTATAACAAATGCATCAATGCATCAGTATGATCGACGTATTTATGTCATACCCCCGTCACACTAGAGGCAGAATGAGCAAAAATGCCACCGGAAAGACAATTCTTTGTGCATTCCTGGATATTCAAAGAGCATTCTAAAATTCCGAGTGTATTTAAAATATTTTAATCTATTGTTGTGGTCGGCCCGAATGTTCAAAACTTTCGAGGTGCATTCCAAGTGGAATATTATTGAATGGCATTTGAATAGTATTCTAACTACACTATGACTGCATTTTAAATATTCTCACGGCATTCTGGCAACATTCGAAACATTCTGATCACATGCGAGGGATATTCGAACTGGCATGTGACTTAAGGCCCCCGTCACACTTATTCGGAACCAGCAGGAATCAAAAAGAATGAATTAATTGAAAAATTCGTGCCATAATCGGGAGGAAATATTGCAAATGTTGTTAGAATGCAGTCAGAATATTCCGAATGAAATTCAAATGCCGTACGAGTGTGGTTTGACTGCTGGCCGAATACAGACTGAAGTAGGTCTCGAATGATATACGAAGCGAACTCAAAGGCAGTCAAAATGCTCCCGGTATGGCCACCAATGATGGTTTGAAATATACAGAATTCAAACAGAATGTAGCTGAAATACCTTAAATACTTAAAATACTTAAAATTACTTTCTAACATGTTTAGAATGTAACACGATGCCCAGAGTGTATAAATAACGCCACTGGAATGGTAACTGATCAGAAAGTTTCGAATGCTGTCGGAATGCCGTGAGAATATTTAGAATGCAGACATAGTGCAGTTAGAATACTGTTCAAATGCCATTCGATAATTTTCCACAATGAATCCTGATTCGCAGTGACTCTGACACTCAGGGCAATTCTTCTTGATTCCTGCTGATTCCGAATAAGTGTGACGGGGGTATAACTTGGTAAATTAGCTCGTGCGTGCGTGTGTGTGTGTGTGTGTGTGTGTGTGAGAGAGAGAGAGAGAGAGAGAGAGAGAGAGAGAGTCAACTGGAGATCTAAAACATACTTCAGCACATTCACGCAGATTATTCACAACATCGGCATTTTTGGAAATAGGTTATGGAATTCTTGCTCTTCATTACATTGTTGAAATTGCAAAAATTGTTTTTTAAACATTAAAGTAATTTTTTATCTTGAGAACCAGAAGCAAGAAATTGGTTGAAGAATTACCTTAGAGTTCAAGAAAAGCTTAGCTCATGAATCACCGGTGAAATCCCGATCAAAAAGGATATATATGCAAATGAAATATGTATACTCAGAATCTGCCCTTCTTGTATTAAACAATATGACAGACTACATTTCATACTTCATGTCCAAACTATATAAACAAGAAAAAGTTGGGTGATATTTTCGAAGCTATCGAATATGCAAATTTCATCGAATCGTAATCAAATTGGAAACACCGGTATTCTGGAGGTATCGAAAAATGTTTCATCGAAATTGTGAAAGAAATTTTCTATTAAAAATTTGACAGCCTCGACGTTGTCAAAACCTTATCGAAAGCTCATCGTTGTATTTGCTTGCCTCATGAGAGAGAAGATATCAGAGCGTGGTCACGACTTTGACAAGGAATCTTTTCGTATTCAAATCGCAATCGCTTCGATAGCTTTGAGAATACGACTAATCGTTCACGATTTTTTTAACGAATCGACGACAAAAAAATCAATATCGAAAACTTTTGAGAATACAAAAATTGTTTTTTAAAAATTCGAAAAATTACTATACTGTCAAATATGACAGTATAGTAATTTTTCGACACTTTAACCGACCGGATTGCCTTGATGTTTGAGCGTCCGTCTCCGGAGCAGAAGGACTTGGGTTCGATCCTGTCCGG